TACTCAAACCACATGTAGATTTATTCTTCAACAAAATTAAATTCATTTTTACCAAGTTTTGATGAGGAAATTGTTATGTACGTGGTCGTAGACTTGGTCGTTGGTTAATGAAACATGAGAAAATTTCAGTGTGGAATCTGCGAGCAGCCATAGAAACAGTAATGAACAAACTTGTTATTGCTTTTGTCTTTTTAACACCTCAAAATTTGTCAAATCAATGATTAGTTTTTGAACAGATTTGGACAACTTAACGTGACTTTCACCGAATATGGAACATTCTTGTTAATCCAAACGATAAGTACTTCCAAAGATTTAGGTTCTAACTTTGTAGCATGCATGAATTTCTATGGTTGTTTCTTGTTCGTACAAAGCTTAAAGGAGAAAAAAAATCTAGAACCATAGGATTTTACGGTGCCGTATTTTAGTTTTCTTCATTTGTTGATGTTTCATTATTTGTCAAGATCCATCACGATTGTGATTGAAAATGAGTGGATGTGATGGAGATAAAGAAACGTGCATTTACTATACCTAACATCCTTTGATGATCGTATCAAAGACGAGCAAAGACGACTTACTGTTGTCCAATGTGGAATCTATATAAGAATGAAAAATATATATATATATATATAATATTTTAATTTTTTTAACGAATGCATGAAAAAAAGAATTGTTATTATATATTATTTATAATAATATTTTTTGTATATTAAATACTTTTTTCATCTAAAATTATTTATATGTTATTGATTTTTAAAGATTAAAATAAAATTTTATTTTAATGTATTTAATATTAAATTTTAAAAATTTTTTATAAAATTAAAATTTTATAATTTTTAATGTAAAAAAATAAAAGAAATCATAAAAAAATAATTTTAAAATATAAAAGAAAAAGAGCTTTAGATATTACGTAATATATTTTTAAAATATTTTTAAAAAGTAAATAAAAAAAAAAAAAGAGAAGGAAGAAGCAGCAATTGACACCTTAATAAATCTTATGAAAAAAAAATACAAAAGACATATTATAAACATTAAGCACTCGAGCTCTAAAGACATTCTCAAATGTCATATGCCAGGCATCGAACTGAAAATTGCTTTTTTTTATTCAATTTGAGTAAAATGAATGAGTAAAACTGAAGTCATTACTCATGAGTGTATTATTCAATAACTTTATTGTCTTTTTTGAAGAATCTCAATTTGCTTATCCATTAAATTGTAAATAAGAAGCATTGAATGCAGAAATTTATGATATGTGTGTCATACGGATCAATTTTATTTATTTAAATATTTATGTAACTATATAAATTAATATTTTTAATTTACATGTTTAAGGTATATATGATACATATAATATAATCAATATATGAAACCATAATATAAAACTTAAATTTTTAATTAAAAAATTAATAAAAGTCAAAACATTTGATAAACAATTTTTCATGAAAAGTAAAATATCCAAAAAATATTATAAATAGTATTATTAAATATACCAATAAAATGTTGAAATAGAAATTAAAAGTTACGATCACTTCCAATTAAAAGTTTTCAATTCGTGACATCTTCATCTTATGTGACATTACAAAATATTTTTCATATACTAATGTTTGATTATATTAACGGTCAAATTTCATCAATAAAAGAGATTTTTACTGACAAATTTATAATACCGTCAAAATATATCATATTTATACCAATATTTTATTTAACCATCGATATAAATGAATTTTTTTTTATGGTATATGACTATCCGTCAATATAAATATGTTATATACTGATGGTTATTAACGTAATATTAGTATAGGCTCAAAACAAAAAAATTATTGGTCTATAAAAAATTAAATGAGATTATTGAAGGCGTTTTCAATTAAAAACGCCTTCAATAATCCATACAAAAAATTTTTTGTGTGGATAATTTATTGATGGTTAAATTATGTCAGTAAAAGAGATTTTTAGTAGTAATTTTTTAATATCGTCAGAATATACCGTTCTTATACCAACATTTTTTTAACCGTCGGTATAAATAAATTTTTTCTGACAATATATGACTATCCGTCAATATAAATATATTATATACTAATGGTTATTAACGTAACCATCAGTATAGGCTTAAATAAAAAAAAACTATTAGCTTACAAAAAATTAAATAGGATTATTGAATATATTTTTGGCCAAAAAAACCTTCAATAATCTATTCAAAAAATTTTGAAGAGTGAATATTGGAGGCATTTTTGACCAAAAATGCTTTCAATAATCCATACAAAAAATTTTAGAAGGGATTATTAAAGCCATTTTTAGCCAAAAATACCTTTAATGAAAACTCCTTCAATAATCCCCTGAAAAAAATTTAGAAATGATCATTGAAGGCGTTTTTGCTAAAAACGCTTTCAATAATCCTTTCAACAAATTTAGAAAGGATTGTTGAAGGCGTTTTTGGTCAAAAACTCTTTTAATAATCCTTCATAAAAATTTATTAAAATGATTATTCAAGGTGTTTTTGACCAAAAATATCTTGAATAATTCTATTGAATTTTTTGTAAAGATTATTCAAGGCATTTCTGGCAAAAAATTCCTTGAATAATCCAAAAAAAAATGGCAAGCTTATGAATTTAAATCATTTTTTACCTCCACCTCCCACCGATTCTACATACTTAATCTCCACCTCCCACCAACTCTCTCCACCCATCGGTACTCATAGCCTAATCTCCACCTCCCATTAACTCTTTCCACTTCTCATTGACTCTACAAACTTAAACCCATCGGCACCCATTTTGTTTTAGAACTAAATCAAAATTGAAGCATCAAATTTCTCATCATTTCTCAAAGATATTTTTCATTTTTTGCATTTCAATTTTGTGTCATCAAGCATGCTTTTTTTTAATATATTTTTTGTTGTATTGGATAAATCTAAACTCAGTCTTTATCACCTTAAAAAGTAGAGAAAGGCCTGAAAATGTTATTAGCGGCACTATTTTTGTTAATGAAACAGCTTTAATAAAAAAAACAGATGAAAATTTCATCTGTTCTACTGTGGATTAGTGGCCTCTTAATAAATGTGACTATGGAACATATAGCTAGGGAAGAGCTTCTTTTTTTGATCTAGTAAACAGCTTATCCTTAAGCCTATTGAATAAAAACATCACAAAAAAATCATTCTTTCTGAAACTTTAATGCCTACTTCACTTTTACAAAAATTTCTTAAATAACAATCTAGCTTATTAGGAAATGAATTGTGTGGCTCCGGCATTGAAACAAGAGTTGCAGTAAATCAATATGCATCTTATGTGAACAATCTTCAAAACATTATTTAAAACATATATAGAGAGGATTTGAAGTTCAGCCATTAGTAATAGCACCGGAAGGATTCTTTGATGCAAACTTCGAGCACCATGTTTGTAGACATTCAATCATAAATATTAATATTCTTTTTTTTTTTAGATTTGGTACAATGATGTTAGTTCTTGACTTATTTTAAATTTGTAGATTATAAAACAATTTAGTTGTTATTTTATTTCAAATGTTATTAAATATTTTTACTTTTTGTGTATTTTTACTTTATATGAAATTATATCATATTATGATTATAAATAAATTAATATTAATAATTTAAAATATAATTCAAAAAAAAAAATTTTATCGACATCTTAAAATTTATACTGATGCCTTAAAACATACAAGTCTTTATTGACGAGTATTAATTATTGGTGTAGGCAAAAAAATTTAAAATATATAAATCTATACTAATGAGTGTTAACTGTCGGTAAAAGATATAAAGTAGAACACACAACAGATATTATACCAACAGATATACATTTACTAACAGTCTTGAACTATAGGTATATTTCTATAAGCCATTTCGACACTTTAAAACTATCAGTATAAGCCTATACCGATAAAAGATATACTGATGGTTAAAAATTCTTCGAATTATATATTTTGACCGTCAATATAGGATTTATGATGCTATATTAACAGATTTTAGAATTTTACCAATGTTTTTTTTAGTGTCATTATATGTCAAATTTCTTATAGTGTGATTATTTATATATACATGTAGGTTTATATAATTTTAAATTAAATTCTATTTATTTGCAAAAAATAATGATTTTAAATATTTAAAATGATAATAAGATATTTCGATGTTTGTATAACTTTGTTAAAAAAAATTATTTGATCACTATTCTGTTAATAAAATATTGAAATTTAATTTAAATAATCAAAGATTGAATTCTAACCTAAAAATAAGGCATAATTCACTCTTTATTCCGGTAAAAGAAAAAGAAGTTGTAATAGCTTTGGCCCCGCTAGGCCTTGTGAATACGAGGAGAATCCAATGGCACTTGCTAACTTGAAGTAACACGTAAAAAACGTGTCGTTTCCATTCCATTTTATATTTTAAAAAAAAAAAACCCTAGAACACTAATCTATCATTTAATTGAACCAATTAATACAAAAAAAAAAAAAAATCTACTCCATCATTCTCATACATTCAATATTTTTCGATTTTGATTGTTAATATTTTAAATATTTTATTAAACAAATTTTATAAAACATATATTTGAAAATCTTTTCATTAAATATTTTTGAATTCTTTTAACAGTTTAATTAATAAAATATTTAAAATTAAATTAAATTAAAAAAGAAAAATTTTATCAAGAAAAAATAAACCACACTATTTATAGAAAAGAGGACCGTAATATTTTACCTTACATTCTTCTTAACTATTAAACTATCTTGTAAGATTAATATTAGTTTTTTTTTTGGTTGACGATACCGATGATTTCGAATGAATTATAGAAAATTAATTATCATTATATTTAAAATTTAAAAAATTTTAATATAATATTTAAGTTACGAATGCATTAATTAATGTAATATTCATTTTTATTAATTCAAAATAATTACATCAATTAATAAATAATTTTTCAAGTACTATATTAATCAATAAAATTATAAATTAAATATTATATTAAAAATTTTTAAATATAAATATTAAATTATAAGTTAAAAGTTATTCATAATATTAATAATTTTTTTTTAATGAGAAAAAAAATGGGCTGTACAAAAATTGGCCCCGGCCCTTCCATATATCCGGATCCAATCTAGATACTAAAATTCCCAACTTAGGCTGACCCCTTTTAGAAATTCCAAAGAAAAGACGCTGGACCTAAAATCCCATCAAAATGATCGTCTTCACCGCCGAAGTTGGGCACTGATGATCCCAGAAAATCACTTGAAAAATCATCAAATCCAGGTAATATCCCATAATCCGAAGCGTAATTACCTGAACCCATTGTCAAAAGATCGAGAAACGACCCGTCCATAGGCAACTCACTGTCCAACTGAACTGTCCCGTCTGAAATCGAGAGTGAGTCCCCAGAGGTGGACTGCTCCGAATGGGTCCTGGGAAGCTCCGAGTTAGCAAACCGGGCTGCAGCGGCTTGGATTTCGGGTGGTGTTAAAGACCTACCACCGGCTATATCTGGTGGGTTATCAGGGAAGTTGAACTTAGCAGAGCGGCCGCGTAAGCAAAAAAGAGCAGCGTCGAATGCACGCGCTGCTTTCTCGGCCGTTTCATAAGATCCCAACCAAATCCTTTCCCTACTGTTGGGTAGTCTGATTTCGGACACCCACTTCCCCCATTTTCGCTTTCGAACACCCTTGAATCGCAAATCGCTTATCTCAGCTGCAGGTTTCTCGCCTATGTGTTTCACCATATTCTTTTCCTTGAGTTTTCTTTCTCGGTTCTGTCTTTGAACTCGGTAGTAGTATTGTATTAATGTTTTTGGTTTGCTTTGCAGAGTATTTGATTGCTGTTTTGTAGAGTTTGAGAGGTAGGGGAATTTGCGGCTCTGTTTATATATTACCGTATAGGGAGGGGAACGGAAGGGAAGCGATAGTCTCTGACTTGATAGTGATCAGTCAACCGAAGAGAGGCGCGTTGATTTGGTGTTTGGAAGCCGCAAAGCGCAAAATGATGGGTACGTACGTGGCATCTTATCGAAGACATTTACGCGTGGAAGGTTCCGGGGGATATTTCCACCACGTGGGCCTTGTATTACTCGTGCCCAAACTCCACAACTAGTTTTATTTTTTTATTTATTATTTAAATTTTAAAACTTTAAAAAAGGGCTTCGCACTGAATAGTTTATTGGGCCTTTTCAAACCGAAAGCATGTTGCTGCATCACATGCCTGAACTAATGGGCCAGGGAATTAAAATAATTTTTTGACAAATTACATTTTAACCTTTAATTTTTTTTTATTTAAAGAGTTGACTTCAAGTTTTTAATTTTCAATATAAAATTATTTACATTAAAAAGCTTATTTTTATACCATTAGTAAAGCTTTAAAAAGTAATATATTTATTAATGAATATATATTAATATTTTAATTTTACTTGTAAATTTTAAAAATTTCATCGAAAGTTTACAAAATAATGATATTTGATTTAAAATATAAAGTGAGGAAAAGTTTCTAACTATAAAAACTAATAGCTGGATCTAAATAGGTATGACTGACAATAAAAAAAATTCAAACTATAAAATTCACCAATAGTATATCTATAAGAATAGTAGTAAAGAAGTGGAATTATGAAGTTGGGATTTTTTTTCCTATAAATCCATAATTCATGAAAGTTGATAAATTATAATATGAAAATCTTAATTATATGAGATTTACATACATATGTATATGTATGTATTTATGGGTTTATACATGAGTCTTTATTAATTGTAATATTGTACGTACTATACAATTCTCTGATTTAACTTTCCAAAAATTGTTACATTCTTCCCTTTAGAGTAGAGGTTCAAGATGTAAATCCCAATTTTCTTTCCTTCATGTATATGCATTCTGAAATGTTTTGATAAAAAAAAAAATACAATTGTCATCATTTAGCAAATATAAATTACAAATTGGGATGACAGTTGTTAATACAGTTCTAGATCAATATAAAGTAAAAAATTTTGCATTTGATTTAGAAAATTGGTTATCGGTTATGTGTAAAGAATCATATTTAAAAGTCAAAACCTTTAAAAAAAAAAAAAACTTGAACAATGTTTGAAAAAACAATACAATATAGAGTTTACAGGTTAATTATTACTTCAGGTTACAGGGCAAACCTGCAGCGTCTGAGAGTACTGAAGGCGTTGTAGCCATAGGCCTCAGCTCTCAGCTTTGATAAGCCAATCAAGCATCAACCGACAAATCAAAGTGTCAGCCAATTAATATCTCTTTCTCTCCTCACGGGCTTATATTTTACGTCATGCACATGTCATGTCATCGACGTTGAAAGAAGAAGTTGTTCACTTTATCAATAAATTTCTTTGTTCTCTTGTACCTTTTAAACTCTTTTGCTCCTATCCCATGTCAATAAATAAGGCCTAGAAATCCAGCTGTTTGTCAGAGATTTGACTTCGGTTTGTGTTAGCTCCAAAGGGCAAGAGAACATGACTCAATAATTTAAAAGCCGTCTCCTTGTGGCTATCAAAGTATCAAATCATACGCCAAGCAACTATAATTTGCCCTTTGCTTGATATGAAAACCAGGAAAGGAAGATTGTTTCCTGCCTTTTCAATTCAATCTGTTTAAGGAATCAGCAAAATCCCAGCTTCTTGGAAACTTCGATATATACATGACTAACTAGTTTTTTTAATCCGTATGGGATTTTTTATTAAATTTTTTATAATTTTAAATTTATTTTTTAATTAATTATCTATTATATAATCATATATTTATAAATGTTAAGTTATAATTAAATGATAATTTATACAAAATATATTATAAATGATATTATTCATCTAAAAAAAATTTAAACTTTTGTAAATTTTCAAGAATTATAAAAATATTTTTTTCATTAAAAAATATTTTCTTCATTTATTTGATAAATATTAAAAATTTTGCTACTTTTTTTTTTGTTTGATAAAAAATCGAGAATCAATATTTAAATAGTTAAGAGTAATAATTATTTTTATCAAAATGTTGATTGGGTGATGTATATATATTTGATTGAATGATAAATCACAATTATTAATTTTGTTATAATCATATGCTTTTTCTTAGTTTTTATTTTTGACATACTTCAAGTAATTATTACATAAATATATTGGGCTAACAATTATTTTTATATATATCAACAAAATAAAGTTATTTTTTAGATAAAAGGAAACGATAATTTTGAAATAAAGTTATTTTTTAGATAAAAGTTACTTATGTTATGCTTACAAACGTTTTTTTGAAATTTTTTTTTATTTCTAATCATTTTTAACATAATAGATAGTATTTTTTGTGAGTTAGATATGGTAGTGATCATTATTCTTCTCATATCATCCGTTGTAGATAAAGAAATTCAATAATAAAAAGTATAACAAAAGAAAATAAAGAATATAAATTTACATATTAATTTATCAAGATTGATTATAATTAACAGAGAATAAAAACATTGGAGAAATGAATAAAACAAAAAATATATAATACAAAAAGTTAATTATAATCTATCTAAGCAAATTTTTAAAAAAATTATGGACTAAAGAGAAACAAATAAATTAATCAAATATATAATAAAAAATATTTGAATTAGAATATAAATAAAACATTATATTTGTTTTCAAAGCAAAAATATATTTTTATCTAACTTTTTTATTAACATTCAAAAGTCTCATATTTTCAAATAAAAATGTAACCTTTTATTACTTAAAAAATACATGCTTCTAGCCAATAATCCATTAACTTATATAAAAATATTAAATTTAAATAATCTACTAAATAATTTTTAATTTTTGATAGATTTTTATTTAAATTTAAATAATTATCTAAAAATATTAAATTTAAATAATTTATTAAATGAAATTATTTAACAAAAAATAAAATTTTATTAAGTATATATACTTGGAACTGTTATTAAATTTTAAAAAAATATATAAATTATGATTTAATATATTTGAATTCAAATGTAATGCAAAAATTTCAATCTTAGATATATTTTGATTTCAATTTAAATAATTATCCAAAATATTCAATTTAAATAATTTATTAAAAAATTTTATTTGATAAATAAAATAATATAAATATTATCCTATGTGTCATTAAAAGAGATTATCTACCTAAGCATCCACATAAGCAATTTTGATCATGTAACCTTGTATCTTGTAATATAATATATATATATATATATTATGGATAAGATAAATGTCTCCAACAATCCCTCTTATTTCTTTTGGTCAGATATTAATTAACATTAATGCTGAAGTTTTAGTAGATATGTTCATTCGTTCCATTTTTCTTCTTTTATTCATACTTCCAATAGCTCTCCACTTTATTAGATTGCCACTGAAATTTTCAGTTAGCTGTAACATTTTATTTGTCAAGGTCATACTGGTAACAACCCTAACTACATGTGACAGAATGGAAAGTTGAAAAGAGGTTGGGGGAATCCAACTATTGGATAGTTTGGGTACCCATAGGCCATACTTCACTTTGCTAAGCATTCAACACGATACCCATGCTTTCACTTATTGTTCATCTTGTAGATTATTTCAATGTTATCCATTTTCATTGACCTAATTCCTTACTTCTAGAAAGAAGGGGCTTAGCTAAGGCTTCGGACAGTCAAGCTGAAACAAAAATTTTTTAAAAAATGCAAAAAGGATGCCTTATTGACGATGATAGGTAAGGTATGAGGAGGGTAGAACATTTTTCATTTTCATATATGGATTTTTATATTATACACATTCATGTATTCATACTTAATTAATATTTCAAATCTATCTCCATTTTCATTTCCACAGATGTTCAATAAGTATAAGTAATCTCCATAACTGTAACTTTTTTTAAAAAATAAAAATAAAAATTTATTTTTTTAGTTTTTTATTTTTATTTTGTATATTTGGGTAATTTTTTATAAATATATATTAATATATATTTTTAATAAAAATATATTAATTATAATTAATTTAAAATAATAATTTATATTATTTAATAAAAAATCTTTCTAATAAATATTTAAATATATATGTAAGATATAGGTACATGGTGGATGCTATATTATCTATCCCTATTTCCTATCCAATAAAAATTTAAAATCATACATATTCTCATCTCATCCCTATCTTCATCTTCATAATATAATACTCATCAACATCCCTTTTCAAGTAACAAATTGAATTTCTCATTAGGTATGGATAAAACTGACATCTTTACTTATTGAAATGATTAATTTCAAAGCGAAAAAGACTAAGCATTCTAAAAAAGGATTTAAATCATAACAAATTGCTATAGGCAATCCACTGAATACATGTTAAGATTAAAGCCTTATTTTTCAAAAAACAATAATAAAATAAGTGTCAACAAAATCAAACACACGAAATATATAATCATTTATTCTCAATAAGATGACTATATCTACTTTGCAATCATTACAAAATTTTTCACCGTGAAAAAATAAATTATGAGTGTGATAATAAAATCTTAAATTGATAATCCTATAAATATAAATATAATTAAGATGGTCAAGTTACACGAATAAAAAATTTTATATAATATTTAGTTTACGAACAATTAATGTATATTTTACAAATTTTTTAATGTTGATTGAAGCTTCAAATATCTTCTAGAAAGATACTTTTTATTTATCAAGAAATTACTCAAAAATTAAAGCTTCAAATATCACTAATCAACTAATATTTTTCACAAAATTTTTCAACCAACAAGAGAAACGGTTTTTTCACCACCCACCAACCATCCCAATTGTTTGTTTGCTCAAAGATAATGGCTTAAAAGTATACATACAACATGAAAAAAAATAATAATAAATAAAGCGAAAGCAAATGGAAATGGATAAGAAACAAGAATCAAGCTCTTGATATGGCCTAGCTCCTTACAAAATAAGGGCCTATAAGGTTTATGTGAGCCTTTGTTATGTAAT